CACGCCACCCACAGCTCCAGAGGCTCCTGCTTCTGGGCGGAGTCCTGAGCCAGCCCGGCGCTGCTCTGCTTCTGGGTGCCCAGCTCCGGGGCCTGGCCGCCGGGGGTGGGGGGCTGCAGCACCACTTCCCCAAATGCCTCCAGCAGCAGGTCCGTCTCGGCCGAGTCTGAGCTGAGGCCTGCTCCGGTCGACGCGCCGTCTGCGCCCGCCCTCTCTGCGGGGCTCTGGGAGGCCGGCGGGGGGACCGGGAGCGCCACGGACGCCGCCGGACTCCCTGCACCGCCTGAAGAGGCCCCAGCAGGCTGCTCTCCGCTCCCGGCCTCCTCCTGGCTGTCAGGGCCGGCGCTCTCCGGCACTCCCTTTGTGTCACTTAATGCCAAAGCAACGGCCTCTCCGTTCACAGGCCAAGTCACACTAGTCACGCCTGAGGAGACTTCCATGGGCCCCTCATTGTCCTTAGCCAACAAAGGCTTCAGGGGCCAGGCACTCTGGCTGTCAGGCCCCCCGGGGCATCCCGAACAGACTGATGATTCATTGTTCTCCTGGCGAATCCCGCCCGGATAATACCGCACAGAGATCCCTGCTCCGGAGAGGCCGCTGACTTGGTCGGCGGATGCTGCAGCAGCCGTGCCGACGCCTCCCACTGCCAGCCCTGGGAGATCAGCAGGTGTCTGTCTCCGGAATTCCTTCACTCCGTCTGCCTCCATAGGCTCCGCTGTGGAGCTGTTTTCCCCTGCTCCAGTGGCATGGCCCTGGGGGCTCTGTTCCCTGCCTCTGTCCAGGAATGACGGGGTGCCCTCCCAGCCAGCCCCTGGCACGTCCGAGATGTTCTGGCGCTCTGGGTGCCTTTTGGAGGCTACAGGTTATGTGGGAAAGAAAAAAAGCATCAGACAGGGCGTTCAAGTGGGGCTGCAAATCACAGGGGTGAATGAGTGAGTGAGCGTGTGTGTGTCTGTTCAAGAGGGGCTGCAAATCACAGGTAGGAGTGAGTGTGCGTGTGCGTGTGTGTGTGCGCGCACGTTCAAAAGGGGCTGCAAATCACAGGGTGAGTGAGTGTGTGTGTTCAAGGGGGGCTGCAAATCACAGGGGTGTGTGTGTGTATGTGTTCGTGTTCAAGAGGGGCTGCAAATCACAAGCAGGAGTGTGTGTGTGTGTGTTCAAGAGGGGCTGCAAATCACAAGCAGGAGTGTGTGTGTGTTTGTGTTCAAGAGGAGCTGCAAATCACAGGTAGGAGTGAGTGTGCGTGTGCGTGTGTGTGTGCGCGCACGTTCAAAAGGGGCTGCAAATCACAGGGTGAGTGAGTGTGTGTGTTCAAGGGGGGCTGCAAATCACAGGGGTGTGTGTGTGTATGTGTTCGTGTTCAAGAGGGGCTGCAAATCACAGGTAGGAGTGAGTGTGCGTGTGCGTGTGTGTGTGCGCGCACGTTCAAAAGGGGCTGCAAATCACAGGGTGAGTGAGTGTGTGTGTTCAAGGGGGGCTGCAAATCACAGGGGTGTGTGTGTGTATGTGTTCGTGTTCAAGAGGGGCTGCAAATCACAAGCAGGAGTGTGTGTGTGTGTGTGTTCAAGAGGAGCTGCAAATCATGGAGGAGTGTGAGTGTGAGTGTGTGTGTGTGTGTGTGTGTGTGTGTGTGTGTGTGTGTGTGCATGCGCGCTCCATGGACACTGCATATAAAACCAGCACCTTTGCACGCCCAAAGAGCACTCTCCCCACCGCCGCCCCAGCTCACCAGACACCCGTGCAAACGTTCATGCCATCATTTCAAAACGAATCATTGTTTTCCGAACAACAGACACCCTGGTAAAAATAGCGTCTGCATTTGCTAAATTCAGCCTTCCTTGGAGCTCAAGCTTTCTCCCACACTCCCCCACGCTCACTCGCTCGCTCTCTTTGATTCATGGTTTTCCCCCACATTTCAATTATAGTAAAGCACCATCGGCTGCAGGGAAGAAAACGGGAAAGTTTGTGCCCAATTCCATCTCCTCCCCACTCTGGCTTCCTTTTTCCATTCCTGTCTGGGGAGGGACCCACATTTCTGCTGGTCTCCCTGTAACCTTGTGGAGCAGGACATGCAGCGGATAGGTTGGGCAGGGTCGCCCAGGCCTATGAACCTTAGCAGGACTGGGGAAAGCCAGCAGCATCCTAACCTCTGCCCGCCCGCCCGCCTGTGACCTACTCCACGGTCCCCCTAGGCACCATTCAAGCCTTTTACACAGCTACTGCTGAAAACACACAATCGGAAGGGTTTTTTGCCCTGTTTTCGCGTGGGGGAGGGGACGGAAGGGGCTTCCTTATGACTTCCCAAGGCTGAAGGCCCCTGCAATGAAATGGCCCTTGTCGCGGAGACGTGAGCTGTATCACAGATGCTCAAGCCAGAAGGGACCACTGCGATCTACGCCGTCTCCCCTCGCCCCTGCCGCCGCCTCGCCCGAGTGCAGGCAAGAGAACTGCCCCCACATCATCCCCAGCTCCCATCCCTCAGAAAAACCCGCCAGCCCTGGCTGCACGACGGAGGCACCACCACGGCCCGGGGTAAACGGCTCCGGGGGGACCGAGGGGCTCGGCACCTGTGCTTAAAAAGAGGGGAAAAAACCCAAAACTCTCCTTCGAAAAGAAACCCGAATCCGGAAATTTTGCACGCGGGGGAGGGGAAGGCAAGAGGGGCTTCAGGACCTGACTCCACCTCAGTCAAGACCCAATTTCCCTCTGCCACACGGGTTCAAGTCTGCCCTGCCCCCCCATTCCTACAGGTCACACGTGAACCAGAGCCGAAAGGGGTCCCCAGTCTCTCCCCCCACACGCACCATACACGGGTTCAAGTCTGCCCTGCCCCCCCATTCCTACAGGTCACACGTGAACCAGAGCCGAAAGGGGTCCCCAGTCTCTCCCCCCACACGCACCATGGCCGAGAGGAACCCCCATTCTGCCCCCC